GGGGGGGGCATTTAGAGACTCCAGGCCTGTTAATCCATGATTTAGGTGGTTTGGTCAAATAGTATCCATGGACACTAGCTAGCTAGCTGGCTAATTAACCAAGCTATGCAGCGGAAGGAGGCTGTTGAAAAAAGTGAATCCCCTTATGGCAGAGTGACGTGATGTTTTTTGTATGTATCCGTGTTTGTTGGCGCAGAAATAAATAGTATAGATGTACTTTTTAATGATGTAATGCAAGATTATTATTAGTTTACTACTTTCCTTGCAGACCTCTTGGGGTCACTGGACCTCATCTGGAGTATTATTGCCTTAATTTTCCCAACATCTGCTTTACGTTATCAAAAATAGACATAATTAAACTATTGTTTCATCTACAGTTTAGGAATAAAGTTTCCTGTAAGGATTTTTTTTAATGTAAATATAATTTTATTTCTAGCTTCATCTGGTGCATTGGAACACCAAATATACAAGTTTCAGCGAGGCTGCTAGCAAGCCCGATGGACTCGCTGTGGTTGGAGTTTTCCTGAAGGTGAGCAGAAATGGTTAAAGTATCATTATATGCAGTATTACAATAAAACATGATAAACATTTAACCGCAGTGCATCATTTGTTCTTTTTCAGATTGGTGGTGAAAATCCAAATCTCCAGAAGCTTCTTGATGCCTTTGACACCATCAAGTCCAAAGTGTGTTTCTGTAAAAATAAGAGATTTTTTTTTTGATTTGTTTCCTGATAGTTTTCTTACAATGTTCTTCTCTCCCTGTGTTTTTTAAAGGGCAAGCAGACCTCTTTTGAAAATTTCGACCCCTCTACTTTGCTCCCTGGTTGCCTAGACTACTGGACTTATGATGGCTCTCTGACCACACCCCCTCTGTATGAGAGCGTTACCTGGATTGTCTGCAAAGAACCAATCAGCACCAGCTCTGCACAGGTATGTTTGCTGCAAACAGAGCCCATTCAGCTACAGCAGAAGGATTGGCTTTATGCCCACGGTCTAGAATAGCTCTGTCTGCAAATCCTCTCTTGTACTACAATCTAAATAAAGGGCTTAATTGTTCAGATTAACTGTGGGGTGAAACAAGAAGAAGAAACCTCTGTAGCAGACAGAAATGCAATACAGCAGACACTTGGCCAACTGGGGCAATGAGTAAGAACAAGAGTTCACACAGATGCTAGGCGCTTTACCACAGCGTTATCACCATGTGGGCAGTCAACAGGAAATATTCATCCCGCAAATGCAGCACATTTTGTAGGTGAAACACTATTACTGTGTTGTGTTTGTAATTTCAGCTACCTAAACACATCTTACCTAGATTTATGCTTATTTGTAAAATTACAGCTGATGCTATCACTGAAATGAGTATTTGCCTCTTAACCACCCATTCCTCTAAACTAACAGCCCCCCGGCTGGTTTGTCCCAGTGAATGGAGCCTTGAGTCCATGTGAAGGTTAAGTCTTCGTGGTCACGTGATTATTTCACGGTGGTGAGAATGTATCTCAGGGGTAAACATATGAGTTGTGTGGATATAACCTTCATATGAAGGGTCATATATAGCTGGTTCTGCAGATAATAACACAGAACTTATTTATCAGCTAATTATAAGAGGGTACACCCACCAGATGAAATGGTTTGTCTTAGTAGAGAAGAAACACACTGTGTTCATTATCCTATGTTAATAAGTCAAAAGCAATCATATGTTACTATGACGTAGCCACTCACTTGGTTTTTTTTTTAGTCTCATGTTCATACAAAATATTTTAGCCAAGAGCTGAGATTGATTATGCCCCTCTCACATATGTACTGCATGAAAGCTAATGCCTGTAGCTTTTAGCTTAGCTTAAACCAAGTATTGGCAATCGATTTTTCCAAGGGACCACTTGAGAAACTGGGACTGTTGTGAAGGGTTGAACCAAAAGGCTGAATTCAGTTCTGCTCAGTATTAGTTTAATCACTTTATAAGCTCATTTGTGCAGCCGTCCACAACTGTCCCAGTTTCTCATGTGGCCCTTTGGGAAAATGGCACAAGCAAGCCCAGGCTCCACCAGTCAAGCTGACCATTCAACCTTTTACACAATAGCCAAAATCACTTCTTTTTACCAAGGGGTGCAAAAGATGTATTTATATTCATGCATACTTTATATTTTATTCTGGTAGTCAATATGTGGTGTATAATATATGCTTAGTACAAAGACAAGATGCTGTAGCATTGACCCCTCTTTTATGAGCTGACAACAGCTGGCTGTAGCATCACATTTATACTTTCAAACATGGGAATGCTATAAAGTTTCTCATGTCATGTAACTAGGAGCAAGGAAGTAAATAAGCATATAAGAAATGTCAACAATAACATAACTGCTAAGCTCAGTTCCCCAGTGACAAGCTCTCAGTGACTGAGCAGGGGGAAGCCAGTGTTTTGTGAGTGACAGTCACTGCAGGAATGATTAACGCTACGACCGTCGTCTCCTTTTTCACAGATGGCCAAATTCCGCACTCTGCTCTTCTCCGCCGATGGGGCGGCTCAGGACTGCATGGTGGACAACTACCGCCCACCCCAGCCACTCAAGGATCGCACCGTCCGTGCTTCCTTCAAGTAGTAACCCCTCCCCCTGTTGTGACCTTTTCTGCCCTCTTGCCCTTTCCCTTCCCCTCCCCTTCAGCCTGACACCCAGAAATACCTCTCTTGTAGTAAGCCGCGAAGCACACATATCTCTCTCAATCCAGTTTCAGAAGGATGTTAAATTTCTGTGGCCCATGGCTTTCCGTGCTCGACAGTCTAACTGTGAAATGGAGCACTAGAAGGATTTGCATCTCTGTTTCTATATGCAGAACAAGCAAGCATAATTGATTTTAAAGGACAAACATTTAACAGTGGTTGCAACATATTTACAAGGCTTCTACATTTGCTCTTGCTGTTTTTTAGAAGCATTACACAAGAATGTGCAGGTCTCTTTTTATTTTACCCTCAGAAAGCCACAAGGGTGAAAAATGAAGATGAATTACTATCGAAATGGTGCTCTTCCTTTAGCAGGAAGCAGAAAGGACAAGCTAGTTTCAGCATGGCAAAGGGAGGAAATGTGAGGAGCATGAGGTGCACATACAAGACCTGGCACACAGGACCGTGCTGCTCCTGGACTGTCTGTAATCTCTGACAGACTGCCAGCCTCTGCATCACAGCGGCTTAGTGTGACGATGCAGCCTCCTCCATCACATCCTATTGACTCAGAAAAATCACCCTCTGGCACAAATACACACACATCACTGGCGCAGTCTCTGCAGACATGATGCCCATAACTCTGACCTGCTTATCAATCTGAATTGTAGAACAGCATGCAGCAACAAAGGGCACGACAGCACAAAGCTGCTAGGGTCGGCTAAATTGAACACCATAGCAGTGATTTATTTCTCTGCTTTTACATCCAGCTCTGCGAGTCTTTCATGTCTGTGTCATCCCAAGATGTGTGAGTTTTTTGAGCCTGAGAGCTTATGCAAAATGAGTCTTTACTGATTCCTAAATTTATATTTATAACCAAAAAGCCTCTTTCCTCTTGATGCCCTCATAACACCGCAATAGACAAATATAGTGCTTCTTTTAAAAATGAAATGAAATCCCCTTGTGTGTATTTTTCATTCTTTTTTTAAATTTTATTTCTTCAATTCTCATTGTGTAGAGTGCTAATGCTTAAAACGCACAGTAATGTTCGGTCGTCCTGTGGGCGATGTCACAGTGGCAAACGCACAACGCCAAGGAAGAAATTATCCTAAAGCCAAGAAAGAGGAAAACCTGCCAACAGACAAGACTATAGTGTCAAGGGGGGGTCAAGCCCTGTGTAGGAGAACAACTAGCAAACGGGTATTTATTCTCAAAAGCCTCCTTTAGACCAGTGTACATTTCTGAAGCACTGCAGATGTTTGACTAAGCCAGAAAAGAGATACCAGAAAGATTGTAATTACTGTAGGAAAACAAGCCTTATGCCAATAATTTGTAGGGCCTTCCTGGAAGTTTGTGCTATTACCATTCTATTTTGGAAGTGGATATTTTAATAGTGAAATAAATGTATATTTACAACTTAAATGTGCTTTTTGATTTGTGTGTTTATTTATTTCATCATTATTAATGTTAATGTCTCTTCTTATTCACTCATGCAGCATAGGCTAGCAACATGACAGCTAATATCATAATTGTGAACATGCAGCTTTAGTGAACTTTGCTGTTTATACAAATGGAAAGCAATGTGTGATGGCAAAAACTGAGATTTAATCAAACTCCCTACATATGTGCAATACACAGTGTAAAGTGTGCAAGTGTTAAATTAAGTATTCTATCTAACACATCAAGCTTCAGGCTAAAATCCTACCTGAAGAAAAATCACCAATTTTATTCAGTAACAGCAGCAAAACTTTGATCCCCCAAAAAAGAACAGGGATTTTCATGAACAAGAGACTCTTGAAAGACATTGGAAATACAAAATCATCAAACTACTGTTTACTCTCAGACCTACAAATTCTTCCTTGCAGATCTGCTAAAATTTGATATGCTATATTTTCCTACCTTTGTTCTGTTTTTACACCAGATACTGCCTGGTTTTTTTAAAAATCAAGACTTAAAAACCCAACAAAGAACCACATCATACTAAATAAAGATATGTAGTCAGTCAAAGGTACACCCTCTTTACTTTTGAGGGTTTATGTATTATGACATAATAAAAAGTCATTGGTCCTTTACCAGATGAGCTATAGTATATGATGTATGACACTGTGAATTTAGTGAACATTAAGCCAAAATGCAAATTGCTTCCACTGGAAATAAGAATTCTTAATTAAAAGAGTAAAGAGAAGTCAGCTGCTGCAAATCAAAAGCATCTCATTAACTTGATTAAATGGTTGGCAAATGTGAGCTCGTCGACAAAAGCAGACGTTTTGTCATTTTGCTGGTGTGAAGCATTCAGTTGTGTCAGCACAACGCCAAAGAGGAAAGACGTCTGTAATGATCTTACAGAAACAGTTGCTGCTGCCTGTAAATCTGGGAAGGGTTACAAAGCCATTTCTAAACAATCTGAAATCCATCATTCTACAGTGAAAAAGTTTATTCACAAGTGAAAAGCATTCAAGACTGCAGTCAGCCTTCCCATCTGTGGACTCCCAGCAAATTCACACCAACCCGTGCAATGCTCAGAGAAATTAAATGTTAGGGTTATGACCCTACAGTTAGAAAAAGGCTGAACAAGTATGTCCTGTTTGGTAGGGCTTCCAGGAGAACGCTTCTTCTTTCTAAAAGGAACATAGGTTTGCAAAGTTGCATCTCTTTAAACCACAAGACTTTGGGCCAAAGCCACAAAATGTCAGTCTTTTAATACTAAACTACTGCACAGCACTTATTCCTTTCACATGCATTCATGTTGCTGCTTTGTCCGCAGCCGTCTGGATTCTGTTTAACTTCTTTGCACTTTCCTAATATTACATTTTTTCTTTTTTTCTAAAATCGGTCACTTTGTTAGAAGAGGATCTCTCCATGTTTGTAGTTGGTCACATGAGGGGAGACCCCACGTTAACTTCGCGAGTTGATAACCAGGTTTGTGTGAGCATTTATCTTTGCCAATGTCAGAGTGAATCCAAATAATGGAATAGTACCGTGAGTATGAAGAACTCATTTTGTAATCTAAAGTCAACCTGAATTTACTGATCTTTTTTCGTCAGCATGGGTATGTTCCAGGGTGACAATGCTATTATTCATTGCACTCAGACTGTGAAAGAGTGGTTCATGGAGTTTCGTTTTACACATCGGTTGGCCATTTCAGAGTTTAGACCTTTGTATACAATTTATTTATGCAATGGAACATTATATTGCATTATCCAACCATATTTTATGAGCTAATGTTACAAAGAAAACCAGAGAGGGTGTGGTAGAGAGGCCAGGACTGCTGGCTTAGTGAAGTAGAACCGATCAAATCTCGCTGTGGTGGCAGCTTTACACTCGGTATGACCCAGGTTGATAGAGGGTGCCCAGTCTGGATCACATTCCAGCATTTTGTAGGCTGGTTTTCCTACAAAACACAACAAACATTAGCCCGCAAAGCCACAGTGAACAAAGCAGCGTAGCGCACCGAATTCAATTCAAATCAATATAAGACTTATTTGTAACCTACATCAATAATTATGTTATGATAAATTACGTAATAACTACAAAAAGAAGACTTTGTGGAAATGCTTGGAGCAGACTAATATGTAAGCTGGAGTGTTCTGGAACGTTATATTTGGTCTTGGAATGGCTGCAATCCAGGACATCCGTCGGCTCTTTGTTACTTCGTAAACATGGCTTAAACGATTTCTCCTCCACGACGTAATCCGATAAAAGCCGATCTCTTTACCCGTAGGCTTCCTGTGGCTGTCATGCAACCGGCTACTGCAGTTAATAATAATACAACAGCTTCTTGCCATTTTTTGTGTTTCTTTTTATCGCTGTGTGACTGTTTTCATTTGAAAGCCTGCGTGCGCTAGTACCGTTTGCAACTCGTTCCCAGAATCCTTTGTGGTTTTACCCCTGAATGACATCACATTTTCAGTCTCTATCCTGTCGTTAAGTCTGACGTCACTAGCCGTGTCTGGGCCTAAACTCCGCTGCAGGT